TAATCAATCACCTGTTCTCACATTCTAGTACAAGGGTTCACCCAGACTTCCCCTGTGCTATCAGGCACTCTGTTTACAAAGGACTTAGTTTCTGCAAACGATCCTAGGGCTATTCTTAGCAAGTTCTTCTCCTTCATGTCGCACTACAAGCAGTCTTCAGCACCTGCTCAGTCGGCTCCTAATCAGTGGCGCCAACACTGGTGTAGCACCAATAGGCCTCGACGGCTCATCGTACGAAAGAGGCAATCAACAACCAACGCAACACCAGACTTACCCACCCTCGCTTGGCCCATTCACCTTCCTGCCAACTCCAGTGCCATCAGCAGACTCAGAGCCAAACGACAAACAGTCAGAAATCATCAACATGCAGCAGCAATTCAACAATTCCCTGAAGCTGCAAAATTCTTTCCCATTTAATGGAAAAGACTTCTTTACCTGGAACTCAACTTCGAGTTGCCGATGAATGACGCTCAAATTCTCAGCTTCCTTACCGGCTCCTGGCCATTTCATGAAAATGGGACTATTCAAGAAGAGAAGTCTACACGTATCAGTCGCTTATGGCGTTTACCATCCTTCCGCGAAATCTGACGAAGACGGAGCAACAGTGCATCCGAACGTATAGAAGCTTTGGCAACTCGGCCGTGCTTGCCTATTGTCACCTGAAGAGCGTTTACCAAGCATCGGATGGTGTGACTCAGAGCCGACTCATGGCGCAGCTGACCACAATCCACATGCAACCCGGAGAAAAGGCAATGGCATACATGAATCGCTGCACAGGACTTCTACGGAGTAGAGGAAACTTATCAGAAGACTTCTACGGAGATGCATCTATGCACAGAACTTCACGCCAAGCAGCAAGACGTGGGCTTGTACAAGGAACGACACGCCAAGAAGCCAAGTCATGAGATTGCGTTTAACACGCATGGGTGACACAACAATCAGAAACAACGCGCACCTCCGTACTGTCATCTCTGCCGCACAAGCGGGCACTCATGTTTCAGCTGTCCCAGGGAGCAACTGAGGCAACAACAGCAGCAGCAACAACAACAGCAGCAACATCAACAAACCAATTCGTCCGTCCACCAGTCATGTCGCTTCGACTCAGCAACGTCCACCAGCACCGACATCCCAACCTACGCAAGGAACAAGAAACGTCGTCAGATGCATGGCACCAATGGATTTTTGCGTAGTAGAATCCCCACCTACCCGCCACCTTAATGAATGGCCACCTGCACCGAACCAAACCAGACTTCAGCGAACCCGACTTACGTTGCGATAGCACGCGAAGAACCGTCTGGACGAGATACTTGGTTTCTCAACAGTTGATGCAGGCAGCACATGTGTTCTTCGGCGCGCTTTGTTCAATGAGAAAAGGCATTGAGTTGAGAGGTCATGACCGCCGTCACCAACAACCAGAACCTGCGCACACGGAAAGAAGGTGTCGTTCAGTTGCACTCACTCGAGACAAGTGTGGTATTACCGATGGCGCGAGTACTGGTCATCGACAATCTGGGTTACAACTTACTGAGCAGCACTCAGCTGATGTCGAAAGGCATTCACCTGGAGTGTGACAGCGAGGACCACGAATTTTGGCTTTACCACGAGAGGGGCGGACTATTCATCGATAGAGCAGTCTAGAGTCCACTGTCTTCGTCGTGGACTTTGTCCTAGATCGCGGCACTGCTGATAGCGACGGCGTTATCTCCTTCACCAATTGGACGCAACCACCGGGCCTAGACCCCAGCTTCAATAGAGATGGCTTCTGGTACTCCAACACGATACCTGAAGCGGAAAGTACAAGGGCGTTTGTAGTGATGAGAGAGGCAAGAGAACAAGAGAAGCAGAAACGCCAAGGGCAACAAAAGAACCAAGGATGCCAACACATGAACACCCCATTGCTGGAACTTTGCCCGTGCCACCACCTAAAGAAGCACTAGCCGTAGAAGCACCAGCTAAAGAAACACCAACCGAAGAACCGCCACCGATAGAAGCAGAGCAGCTGAATTCTCACACCTGAGAACACTATAAAAGTGCAGCAACGTTCTCTGCCTTCTGTGCCAACTCCGATCCTTTACAACGATCTGTCAGGCACAAGGCAAGTGAAGAGACATGGCATCAAAGATTGGGACATCCGAGACACTCAAGTCTCTTTAACACTATTCGAGCAAGCGTGCTTGACAAGGATGCCCTATTACTACTCGACATAAAAGAATTACACTGACAAAGACATACTTGTTTCATCTGTCCCGAATCTGCTCTTCCTCGTCAATCGTTCCCGTCACATCACAACCCCAGCGCATCTGCGTACACTCCACTAGAAAAGGTTTGCAGTGACATTCTGCACATTCCACGCGAAGTCGGCGGACCGGACCTGAACTTCGTCATCATCGTCAAGGACGCAGCAACTCAGTACACCTGGCATCTCAATCTGCCATCGCGCGACCTTACCTTCTCTGTGTTCGTCACGTGGCTTGCTGCAGCAAAAAGAGAAGGCGATGTCAAACTAAGATGTTTTCAAACTGACAGACCGATGGAATACCAGTCACAATGATTCAATAACTATTTCGTGGAGAGGGGAATCAAGAGACTCGTAACCCTCCCCTACGCTCATCCACAGAACTGCCTAGCAGAACGGATGAACAGGACGCTCGAGAACACCATGCGGAAGCTGCTGCGTGGCATGCGACTGCCCAACTCCCAATGGCCGGAGATGATGGACTACGCTGTAATGCTGCAAAATCTTATGTCATTTAGCTCCCTGCAAAACAACGCATCACCACATCTGTTATGGACAGGGAAGCAGGGCAGCACAAAAAATTTACGAGTTTTTAGCTGCATGGTACAGTACCAACACATTGCACGAACTGGAAGATTTTCACAACGGATCAGATGGGGACTACACCTCGGTGTTGAGAAACATTACAACACATGGAAAATCTTCAACATGGAAGACAAGAAAACAGTAGCAGCGCGTGATGTGATCTTCTACGAGAACCTCACCCTCAACCACTACTTCAACAACATTCCAACCAATCAGGACCCATCTGGAGGCTTTGCTTGCGCACGTGCGTTTGCCTCGGCAGAAGAAGAAACTGATCTGGACGAGCAAAGCATTCTGGACGCCACTACGACAGCTAGACCCCTAACTTACTGCTCCATCAGCATGCAGATGGATGACGACAACCCTCGCGAAAGCACGAACACTGAGGCTGTTATAATCACAATAGGCTCAGATGTGCCTAAAATGAGAGAAATTGTGCACAGTCAGAATTCCGTTAGACAGCTTCAAATATTGATGCCGATGTGATCTGTGCCTCAAACGGTGATCTGTAAATTGGATCTGGAGCGCGTTGGTGTCACCTATTAGCAGCAAGTTGAGTCATAAAATTCCATAAAGATCTGACGACGCTATGGCGGTTTGACTGGCAAGAGGTACAGTAGCCACTATAGTCTTAGGAGTACAAACTTAGCAAGAAGAGTTCGAGGTAGGGATGGTTCCCAGCCTCTACATACCCCAAGATCTGAGGTCCAAGTTGGTGGTACACCACCACAGAGTCCCCAACCATGAGGAGACTCGAAACAAACCCAACAAGGGGCTACACCAAGTAAAATATAACACTACTTAAAGTAGCATTACTATTTTCACTATTTTAATATTTGTCCACGTCCCTTGGGCTTGAAATCTTGAGCTCTTGGTCTTGGTTCAGCAAGATCAATTCTTCTTGAGATGATGAGGGCTTGCTGCACACACCTGCGATGACATGGACACTTCACACTCGACAAAATAGAGAAAGCACATGCGACGCGCAAACGACGACTTGACATGCGAGTTGTGAAAACTCGCTAATGTCTTGACCGACACAAACCACATTGTGATACACCATTCAAACACACACACAAGCACTAGATAGCAATGACATAGACTCACAAGTCATTCCATGCCATGCATGCACACACACAAACAAGGACGACAAGCCGAGTGCAAGCCATAGGGTTGCACCAACAGAGGCGTATTATCATTTTGCCGACAATGGTTACGTAACCGCAAATCCCGTCGACTCCAACATTTCCTAACGCATAGGCCCCAGTTTCAGACCTAATCCTGGAGCGGGAGATAAAGAAAACTATCCCAAGGATCCCCACATCCCTAGCTACACCGAAAATGGCATGCAGATACTGGGACTCGTCGCAGCCGTGCACCCGCCGTCTCCAACGCCAAAAAAATTGCCCCAAACAGTCATCACACGTCCCTGCGAATCTTTCTCGTCGTCGCCTCTGCCCACAATGTCGCATGCGACAAATTGATGCCACCACAGCCTTCCTCTATGCACCAGTTAACGCTGACATCTCGTCGAGCAGCCAGATGCGTACATCGACGAACCCACCCTCGTCTACCAGCTCATTGGATCCCTTTACGGGATCAAGCAGGCCATGCGGCTGTGGCATCAATATCTCCACCGAATCCTCACCACCATGGGATTCGCTCAGCTGCATCATGACCAAGGAATGTACAGGCTATCCTGGAGCGGCGACTACGTGCCCCTGATTGTCTACGTCGACGATCTTCTCTACATCGGCTCGACGACCTCCATCCTCGTCTGGTTTGAAGGGGAGCTACAGCTACAGCTCAATCTCACTGTCGCCCATATTGTCATGCAATATCTTGGCCTCAACATCACCGACGGCCCCGATACCATCCATCTCTCGGCATCGAAATATGCCGAGAACATCTCTGCCCGATTCAACCTATCTTTCCTGCCCCACGCCACACCATATCTCTACACGAAACCGGCTTCTGCGACGTCCTCCTCCCTCTTGCATCGGTCGGCATCCACGAATACTAGCAGTGTGAGAGTACGACCCCGCTCCATTCCTTTCTCCCTTCCATTTCATTCCTCTTTCCATCTTGATCCATTTGGTTTTTATCTCATTCCGTTTGGATTCCTATTTCTCCTTTTCCATAAACCTTTGGTCTATCCTGTTATTATCATTATATCACCGACCAGGCTCGGGATGTACTGGTGCGCTATATCTAGCGTAATCCTGCCGTAATCCCTTAAAGCCAATAGCCTCGCGTGGCTATACGCAGGGTGATTCTATCTTCTAGAAGGGTCTATTCCCTTGGGATAAGATAAACCTGGTTACCTGATGTACTTTGGAAGTATAAAAGCGCCTTGTACTGATCGATAGTGGAACCTTTCCTCCAGACATTCGATCCTGTGACACTTGGTAATCAGAGCTTTTCTCACTCAGCCCCGCTCAGCTAAGCGGCAGCGGCGGGGATCCTGCCTCGAAAAACCGCCAGGGGCGACCAATTCGACGCTGATTCTGGTAAGCACCAGCTCCGCGTTTTTTTTCGAATTACCCCCTCCGCACGTGTTTTGAACAGGATGGCGAACTTCGACAACGCCGAAGTTACCCAGCAGCTCTTCGCACGCATCGCCACCCTACAGGAGGAGATGCGAGCCGACCGCGAAGCTTGGCGAAACGAGTTCGAGCGAGTACGCGACTCGCGGAAGCGCAACACGAAACGACAACGGCGACGACGTAGCAGTCGCAGCAGTTTCTCGAGGCTCTGAAACCGCGCCCACCTGAGCCGTTCGATCCGAGCGATCAAAACTCCGACGTCCGCAGATGGATCGTCGGCATGGAGATCTACTTCGCAGCTGTCGGATGGAGCTCGCAAGTCTGGGACGGTCAACGCGTACGACTTGCGGCGACACTGATGCGAGGGCCGGCACTCGAGTGGATCGGCGGTAACAATACCTTTATCTACGGCAAAGCCATGTGGCAGCAGTTCCGCACTGACCTGCTGAAACGTTTCGAGCCGATAAATTCGGGTTTCCTTGCCCGGGAAAAAATTCATCGCCATCGACAGTTCGGGAGTGTAGCGCAGTACACGCAGCAGATGGAGGAATTTTATAACCGCATTCCTGACCTGATCGAAGGGGAAAAGGTACAATCGTACCTCGCCGGGTTGAAGACCGAAGTCAAACGACAAGTGGCAGCGACAAACTACGCGAGCTACAGTGACGTCGTATCGGCCGCGGAACGCTTCGATATGGTCAACGCCGGGACACGACGGACGCACGTCGACAGTACGCGACAGGGTGATCGCTCGGCTCACACCACGTTCGCTGACCCGATGGAAGTCGACAGGTTCGAAGGGCGGCGATGTCCGAAAAACACCAACTTCACGTGTGATTTTTGCGGGGTGCCGGGTCATCGAATCTTCGACTGCAACAAAATGAAAGCCGCACGCGCTAAGTATCGGGCACGCAACAGTGGCGGAAATCCTTCGGCCAATCAGAAACGAAAAAACGGGACTCGCCAATGATTGCGGATCTAGCTGGCGAAAAAGAAAATATCCGAAAAAGGCAGCGGACTTCCGGAAAAATCAACTTCGACGCAGCTGATTCGACGCGAGCAGGAGAAATCTCCACCCCACGACCAGTCTTTGGCAGAGGAAATCGCCGAGGAAATATCTAACTCCGCGAAAAAGGACTCTGCCAAGATGGGGAAACTCCTTGAAGACCCAAGAAATTATAAGGATTCGTTAAAGTTATCTTACAAAGATGCTTTAATGAAAACTTGTAATTCTCGAGGGGCTAGAGCCTTGGAGAAATTTCGGGAGGGACTCTAGAAGAAGCAGAAAATTGTGGAGATCGTACTGGTACCGGAGAACTTGGGGACCAAATTAAGGAGTGTGGAGAGAAGCCGACCTTTCCCTGGAGTCAACGTCCTCTCCCTACACCAGCCCACAGCGACTACCCGTTCCCCAGGGAAGACGTCGGTGGAGCTGAAGCAGCTCAAAAGGAAGCTGGGGGTCTACAAGAAGCTGCAAAAACCCCGAACTCCTTCTTCTTCGGATGCATCCAACTCGGCAACTTCGTCAACGACACGAACAGTCGTCACGGAAACTCCGGGCCCAGGAGAAGAGCCTTTTTCCAAGCAGCCTCGGCCAGCTGCCAGCTCAGGAGTAGGAAGCAACGAATATTGGGATGTACCCTATGACCCAATCAATGAAACTATCTTTGGGTACTCCGAGCAACGCCTGCCCCTCGTGCTCGAGGTAATCTCCAAAAGACGACGCCTCCAAGCACTCGTGGACAGTGGAGCATCACACACTGTATGCAACAAGGCAACCATCGACCGACTTCGAGAAGAGTACAAGCCATCAGCGTTTTCTGCAACGATGGTGGATGGCAGCAAGTTACCATTGTACAGCGCAGCAGTGCTACACATACAAATCGGTCCACTGCGCTGGAAACCTGCTCTCCCCATCACCAACATAAAAAGGCTTGACCTGATCTTCGAGCGAGACTTCCTCAAGAAATTCAACCCCGAGATCGACTGGGTAAACCGCACTGCAAGCATCTACAACAAAAGGAGAGTCCAGCTACCCAACTGGGATGATACAGAAGATATCCCAGTAGAGACACTCGCCAGATTCGAGAAGGACGTGAAACAAACTGACACTGGGTTCCTGGCGATAGCAGCAGAGGTGGAGAATGACAGAGAGAAAGCCTCGGAACCTCCAGAAAAAATCAAGGACTTACTGAAGGAGTTCCAAGACATTCTTCCCGACGACCTCCCGGACGAACTACCGCCATACCGAACGCACCAACATGAGATCGTGGAGGAACCAGGTTCAAAACTGACCTTTCGAGCACCATATCGGCTAAGCCCTACAGAACTAGCTGACATGAAGAAGCAGATCAAGTATCTCCTCGCCAAAGGACTCATCCGACCATCCACTTCGCCATACGGTGCCCCAGTACTCTTCACACCAAAACCGGACGGAAGCCTGCGCATGTGCATCGACTACCGAGCTCTCAACAAGCAGACCATCAAGAACAAATATCCGATACCACGAATCGATGACCTGCTTGACCAGCTTCGGGGAGCTACGGTATTTTCAAAACTAGATCTGCGGTCCGAATACTGGCAGATAAGAATGGCGGACGATTCCGTTCACAAAACTGTTTTCCGAACTCGGTACGGATCGTACGAGTATTTGGTCATGTCGTTCGGACTCACCAACGCACCTGCAACATTCCAAGCAGAGATGAATCACATCCTACGCCCACTCTTGGACGAATGCGTGGTGGTGTACCTGGACGACATCCTCATCTACTCGCGCGACATGCAACAACACGTCAAGCACCTACGACGCGTCTTCGAAATTCTTCGACGAGAACGCTTCTACGTCAAACTATCCAAGAGCGACTTCGCCCTCGAGAAGGTCCAATTCCTCGAACATATCGTAAGCGCTCAAGGAGTTCACGCCGACCCCAAGAAAATCGAAGCCGTGCGTACGTGGAAGACACCCGAGAACGTGAAGGAGTTACAGCAGTTCCTTGGCTTGGCTAACTACTAAAACAGGTTCGTGCCACAATACGCGAAGATCGCCGCGCCACTCACGAATCTGCTAAAGAAGAACACGCTCTATAAATGGGAGCCACAACACCAGGAAGCCGTGGAGCAGCTGAAACAAGCACTCACGTACGCACCCGTACTCATCTTGCGAGACCCCGAGCGCGACTACGTCATCGAAGCTGACGCAGTGACCAGGCAGTCTTGATGCAAGACCAGGGGAATGGCCTGCAACCAATTGCCTACCTCAGAAAAAAATTACATGGAGCGGAACTCAACTACCTGATACACGACAAGGAGGCTCTTGCTATCATCATCACCTTCAAAACATGGAGATGTTATCTCAAAGGACGCAAGACGGCAGTCTAGACCGACCATTGCAGCCTAAAATATTTGAAGACACAACCAAGCTTCTCCAGGCGGCAGGTCCGGTGGATTGACTTCCTTGAGACACACTTCCACTACGACATCGTGTACAAGCCCGGCCACAAAGACAAAGCAGACGCGCTTAGCCGGCCTGCACACGTTGCCGCTATCCAAGTTGAAGGGATGAATCCACTCCTCAAGGGACTCTTCACACACGGGTACACCATCGACCCCGAAATTCCCTTGGCAGAAAAGCGACATCTGCTACAATGGGACAGTGACATCACGTACCAGAAAGGATCAATGAAGATCTGGGTACCTAATTACCCTCCATTGCGCCAGTTACTACTCGAAGAATACCACGACATCTTGTACGCGGGACACTTCGGTAGCAACAAGACGCTCAGCGGTATCGCCAAACACTACTACTGGCCCCACAGGGCAGATGACGTACAGAAATTCGTCACCTCGTGCACTACATGTCAGCGGATGAAGAGCAGCAAGTAGAAAAAGGCGGGTCTGCTACAGCCTCTTCCTGTCTCGGAACAGCCATGGCAAGTGGTAAGCCTAGACTTCATCACTAGGCTACCAACTACCACGAGCGGACATGACGCGATCCTTGTCGTGATTGACAAGTTCTCCAAAATGGGACACTTCATCACGACAAACACGACAGCACGCACCGAGGAGACATCACAACTCTTTGTTCGCTGCATCATCTCACAACATGGCATTCCGACCACACTCATCTCCGATCGAGACCCTAAGTTCACCAAAAAAATCTGGAAAGAACTGATGTCTCTACTCGGGACCAAACTTGCCATGTCATCCGCCTACCATCCGCAGACAGATGGACAGATCAAGCGCCTCAAACAAATTGTGGAGCAACTCCTCCGCGCAGCCTGCAAGGACGACATCTCCAAATGGGACTTGCATCTGCCCGTCCTGGAATTTGTCTACAACAATGCTACTCACGCCGCTACTGGACAGGCGCCGTTCTTCTTCTGTTACAGACGCCACCCACTCACACCTCAACAGCCAACCATACCAGCCACAGTTCAACCCGCTCATGATTTCATCACGACCATGCACAAGCTTTGGGATCCGACCCACAAGCGCCTTCTCGACATTCAGCAACAACAGAAGCGCCAAGCCGATCGCCACCGCACCGACCACACCATCACCGTGGGAGACTGAGTACTAGTCGACACACGCAATCTTGACATCAGCCATCTCCCATCCAAATTGCGACCTTGCTTCTGCGGGCCTTTCTCGTTGAAGCACAGGTCACTCCTGTTACCTTCCGCTTACGCCTGCCAGCTGCCTGGAAGATTCACAATGCCTTCCATGTCCAACTCTTGAAGACCTACCGAGATCCCAACACGGTCTTCTCTGGACGCCAACCGCCGCCGCCGCCGCCCGTCCTCGTCCATAATGAACCCGAGTACGAGGTCGAGTCCGTGCTTGCTCACCGCTGTCGACGGAATGGCACCGTGGAGCTTCTCATCCATTGGAAGGGTCTTGATCCTTCAGAGGATAGTTGGGTCTCTGAATCCGAGATGGATCACGCTCGTCGTCCTCTTCGCGACTACCTTGTCAAGCAGGGTGTTATGTCTACTACCCAGCTTTGAGGGGGGGCAGTGTGAGAGTACGACCCCGTTCCATTCCTTTCTCCCTTCCATTTCATTCCTCTTTCCATCTTGATCCATTTGGTTTTTATCTCATTCCATTTGGATTCCTATTTCTCCTTTTCCATAAACCTTTGGTCTATCCTGTTATTATCATTATATCACCGACCAGGCTCGGGATGTACTGGTGCGCTATATCTAGCGTAATCCTGCCGTAATCCCTTAAAGCCAATAGCCTCGCGTGGCTATACGCAGGGTGATTCTATCTTCTAGAAGGGTCTATTCCCTTGGGATAAGATAAACCTGGTTACCTGATGTACTTTGGAAGTATAAAAGCGCCTTGTACTGATCGATGGTGGAACCATTCCTCGATCCTGTGACAAGCAGAAGCTCGGTTGTCTGCTATTCGCCGTCGTCACCTGCAGATCGGATCTCTCCTACGCCGCTAATCAGCTCGCCACAACCTGAAGGGGGGAATCTAGAGGAACTCGACAGCGTGCTGCTCTACTTCATCTCCACCCTGACGATCGGACTGGCCTACCACAAGAACGCTACCACCAAGACTGAGCTAATTGGCTATGTTGACGCCGATCATGCCAGCAACAAAGACAACAGGCGTTCTTGCACTAGCTACGTTTACCGCTTGGAGCCTATCGACAATATCTCCCAGTACTCGAAGAAGCAATAACTAATTGCTCTTTCATTTGCTGAAGTTAAATATATTACCCTCTGCAGAGCTACAAAGGAAGAACTCTACCTGGCGAGCTGCTAGATCGCCGAGTTACCGAGCTTCTGCCTCTTCTGCGACAACCAATCACCGATCAGGATTGCCAACAAAGACGGCTTCACGAACATGACGAAGCACATCTCACTTCGTTTCTTCTTTCTGAAGGACAAAATCGAACAGGGGAGACTCCAACTGGCCTATTGCCCCACTGCCAAAATGGCAGCCGACTACCTGACCAAGAAGCCGACGAAGGCGAAGTTCCAGTACTGCATGCTGCTGACTGGACTGCAACACGTCAGCAACACCGACCACATCGACAATCCAGGAATGAAGGGGAGTGTTGGAAATGATAGGTTAACGATATCTCACAGAGGTCATGAAAGGGCAAGGGTCGCGGACCGTTGACCTTGCAACCCAACAGTCAGAAGCAAAAGAGTCAAAGTCTGCGCGACACCAATGACACATAACCGTCCCGGTATTACAGCACAGGTGCTTACCCGAGTCGTGCTTATCGAGACGTAAAGGAAATGTACCCCTCGAAGTACACAGATAGTTAGACCTTTCATATTCTCTTGTACTATTATATAAAACCTTGTATCCCTTTGCTATAATCAATCACTAGTTCTCACATACTTGTACAAGGGTTCACTAAGACTTCCGCTGTTCAATGAAGCACTCTATTTACAAAGGACTTGGTTTCTGCAAAAGATCCTAGGGCTATTCTCAGCCCAACACAGTATTAGAATAGCACGAGAAAATTGTGACTAGCAAGAGGGAAGGGGAGATACAAGTAGTGTGTTATCCCCTCTAAGAGTTGACCTAACTAGAATATTTATGACAAATATATATATTATAACTAGATATGTATATACAACAACATATGTTTTTTTACACACCCCCTACCCTAGATAGAGGCAACGTTTAATGAGCCCGAGGATCACTACTAGTCTGAACACAGAGACAGGAGGCCACAAGGCCAGTCAGCAAGTGTAACAAGGCATGCAGGTATAGCACAACAAGTACAAGCAAGTATAGTATACAGTGGCAGGAAAAATTGTCCACATGTTTAGCATATTTTATATTTTGACGAGCTGTACGCTATAAACATTAAGCCTTAATTCATGGTGGCCATACACGTAGAGAGGAGCAGTTAGAGAACTCACTCAAATCTCCTAAAACCAGAGTAGTATATTTCATGGTCCTTCAACACGACAACATTTAATAACAGCATACCCGGACAATTTGTACCGAGGACAGGCAGCAAACTAGTTACTAGCAAAACTAGTACCTAGTCAACCGACACTTGGCCTTGATCACCACCTACACCCTCCTAGGCATGTTATGTACGAGGTTAGTGCAAACCTTTACAGGGATCTTCTCGCACTCTTCCTGGACCCACGCTTTTGCATAAGGGGGTGAGCACTAGGAAAATCGCGAAGTATTTGAACTCATGCAAGAGTACTGTGCACGATTTCATATTGAATGTTATCTCTGATACTATCCATGCTGAGGTGTGGCCAAAGATGTCATAAGTCGATTGGTCTCGTCTTATCATGGATCGTCTTCATCGTACCGTTGTGGGTAAAAATTACGAGAAGAGTGGCGAAAACTAGCGTGTCCGCTGCGAAACTTAGGGTAATATAGCACGGTCGACTGTGCACCCATTCACTAATAGAATCGCGTTAAAACCTACAGGTCTCGTCACGGTGCAGCAGTCGAAGAAGCCCCGACTGGTGGGGAAAAATATCCGGGTTCACGTCTGGTAAGGAAGAGGGTCACTCCAGTGCTATAAACTCATGCTCTCCAAGCCATTCCAAGCCTAGGTGGGACACATGGCTTAGAATGGCTTAGAGAACACGAGTATGTTACGCTGGAGTGACCCTTTTCCTCACCAGATCTCAACCCAGATATTCTTTCTGAACAGTCGCGACTACTTCGACCGCTGCACCGTGACAAGACCTACGGATCCTAGCGCGATTCTAATAGTGCAAGGATGCACTGTCGACCGTCCTATGTTACCCTAAGTTTCGTGGCAGATACGCTAGTTTTCGCCACTCTGCTCGTAATTTTTACCTACAACGGTACGATGAAGACGATCCATGATTAGACGAGACCAATCGACTTATGGCATCTTTGGCCACACCTCAGCATGGCTAGTCTTAGAGATAACATTCAACATGAAATCGTGCACAGTACTCTTGCATACGTTCAAATACTTCGCGATTTTCCTAGTGCTCACCCCCTTATGCAAAAGCGTGGGTCCAGGAAGAGTGCGAAAAGATCCCTGTAAAGGTTTGCACTAACCTTGTACATAACATGCCTAGGAGGGTGTAGGTGGTGATCAAGGCCAAGTGTCGGTTGACTAGGTACTAGTTTTGCTAGTAACTAGTTTGCTGCCTGTCCTCGGTGCAAATTGTCTGGATGTGCTGTTATTAAATGCTGTCATGTTGAAAGACCATGAAATATACTACTCTGGTTTTAGGAGATTTGAGTGAGTTCTCTAACTGCTCCTCTCTACGTGTATGGCCACCATGAATTAAGGCTTAATGTTTATAGCGTACAGCTTGTCAAAATGTAAAAATATGCTAAACATGTGGACAATTTTTCCTGCCACTGTATATCAGGATACAAGGAGTGGAGCTGCAAGTGAGACTAGACCAAGCTGAATACAGAACCATTGATGGTCACATGGCGGTTGTGCCTTGGTGAAGATATCAGCAGTGCTGGATTCTGATTTTAACTAGACTACACGAGCCTGGCCGCGCTGCTGCAAATCACGCAGCAGGAAGTACCGCAGCCGGATGTGCTTCGCCCTGCTCTCAAGTCGAGCCTCCTGAGACTGGACTATCATGGCCCTATTGTTCGCAAACAAGACCGAGGTAGGCCTAGGTTGCTCACCTAAGCCTGTGAGCTGGCAAGCTGGCTGACGAGCGGGCGAGCTAGCTGGCGCTGGCGAGCTGGCACTAGCGAGCTCGCATTGGCGAGCGAGAGAGCTGGCACTAGCAAGCTGGCGTTGGCAAGCTGGCGTTGGCGAGCTGGAGCTGGCAAGCTGGCGAGCTTGCTGGGTGCGGCTGCGAGACGACTGCTGGCTGGCTAGCATGCAGCTGCGAGCCAGTGGCAAGCTGGGTGGCGGCGGAGGCGGCGGCGGCGCGGCTGCTGGCAGGCAAGCAGGCGACGATGAGCCAGTGGCAAGCTGGCTGGCAGCAGAGCGGTGGCTGTAGGCTGGCTATTGGGCGCCGGCGGTGAGCCAGGAGCGCGAAATGGCAGGATAAGGGCGGGCGGGAGCGCTAGCGCAACTAGCGCTGGCAAGCTGGCTAGTTGGCTGGCATGCTAGCTGGCTAGTTGGCTGGCATGCTAGCTGGCTGTTGAGCGAGTTAGCTAGCTAGCGTGCTAGCTGGCTGGCTGGCGTTCGGAATGCGCGAACACTGGGAGGGGGGTGGACATACGAAGCGCGAGGTGCCGGGAAAAAGAAAAAACGGTACACTACGGGCAGAAGCGTAAGGTGCGGAAAATCTAGTCTAGCTCTATAACATGTTAGGATAGCGCGAGAAAATTGTGACTAGCAAGAGGGAAGGGGAGATACAAGTAGTGTCATCCCCTTTAAGAGCTGACCTATCTAGGCTATAACAAACATATTTTCTCTAATTAGACATATATATATGTAACAGTATATGTTTGTTGACACATACTTCTTGTCAATTTCCCATGGTAGTGTCAGAACTCAGTCACTAACCACTGAGCTAAAAGGGCTTGTTAAGTAGTGGGTATGTGCGCCCATAATCCCCAAGGCATAAAGATGGCATGTACCTTAGCGAAGAACAAATTGAGTAGTAGGTGGTACAAGGGGATATAACCTAAGGGGTTGTACTCTAGCTATATAAGCATGCACCTAGCTGGCCTATAACAGATACAAAAAAAAAGTTAGCACACCCCCTAGGGTAGACAAGGGGCAGCGACTAGCAAGAGACACACAGCTCAGGGTGGCACTACTAGTCCAACCTCTGAGGCAAGGGTCCGAAGACCAGTCAGCAAGAGTACCAACCAACAGGAGTAACCCAGGGTGGCACTACTAGTCCAGCCACTGGAACAAGAGCCACGAGGCGAGTCAAGATAATATAAGTACTAGTACACATTCAGGGTCCTAGCAAGTGAGAAGCTACAGGAACTAGACCAAGTAGTACACAGTGCCGCTAATGATCTTTAGGAACAAGTGCCTTCGTAAAGATATCAGCTGTGTTGGCACCTGAGGCCAAGTGTACTACACGGGCCTAGCGGCACTGCTGTAGTTCGAGCAGGAGGAGGTACCGGAGCTGGATGTGCTTTGCTCTGCCCTCCAGTCGAGGCTCCTGACACAGGAGGATCATGGCCCTGTTGTCATCGTACAGGACCGGGGCAGAGCTAGGCTGCTCACCTAAGTACGTGAGCAAGAAATTCAGCCAGCGGAGCTCCTGTGCCGCCATGGCACCAGCGTAAATCTCCGCCTCGTAGCAAAACTGGGCAATAGACGACGAGCGGGTGCACCTCAACGAAATGACGCCTGCACCAAGGCTACAGCAGTAGTCCTGGGAGGACCTAAGCGTCTCAGTGTCGTCCGCCCATAAAGCGTCTGTGGGCCCTGTAAGGAGCACTGGCCTGCGTCCTCCTAGCATTAGCCCCATGCCCGAGGTACTTGCTAGGTAACGCAAAACCCTCTTAGCGGCTGACCAATGCTGTGGTCGGTGTCTGCCTCTGGCCACAATGCGAGCCAGGATGCTGAGAGGGTATGCAAGATCTGGACGAGTGCAAGTCATCGGGTACATGAGGAAACCCACCAGCTCTGCGTAAGGACCACTAGGCTCTACAGACTCCTCAGGGAATGGAGCCAAGAGCCTGTAATCTACTGGCAGAGGTGTGGGCTGTGCGAAGAAGAACTGAAGGCAGAACCTCTGAAGGATTGGCACACCAAGTGTGACTGTGTGAGAGTGATGGTGTGCACTGCTCTGTCCCTGGAGATCTGTATGCCAAGGTAGCGATGCAGCTCTCTTAGGTCAGTGATGGTGTGTCTCCTGAGGAGCTCGGCCTTCACGGAGGCCAGTGCGCCTCTGTCTGCAATAGCAAAGACCAGGTCATCTACGTAGACAATAATGTACAATGGGGTCTGACCAGCAGGAATGAAAAGTGAAGGGTCTGCAGACAACGGGAAGAACTGCAGGTCAGCTAATGTAGCATGCAGCATGTCATGCCACTTGCGCGGTGCCTGCCGCAGGCCGTAAACCGGGCACTGGAAGAGCCACTGGGTCCCCGGGGCGAAGGTGCCGGTAAAGCCTAGCAGATGGCACGATAGACCTGCTCATACAAACTGCCCTGAAGAAA